GGGCAACAGTTGGCCCATGTAGCAGGCGTGTGATAAAACCACGTCTTTAACGAGAAGTGCCTGCGGTATTCTGATCGCGCTTAGGGCATTGACTTCGGCTGATTATTTACTGTATCTATGGCAGTGTGTGCCCAACACCATGCTTCCGCGAACTCCCAAGGCTGGAGGCTTAGCGCTCCCTGCCCCAAGGCCCATCATTGTGCACTGCTGTGTTACAGCCATTAGGTACCCGATGACTTTGTCTCATCTTTCGTCACATCATAAGGCTTTAGTTTCTTTCATGGAAGAGGCCTCAGACAAAATCTCGTTACCAAGAATGGTGTAACGCGAGAGGTGCAATACAATGCATAACGAAACGTATTGAGTTAATTAGAAAACAGACGGATTCAGTTAAAAATATCGGCGTGTTGCACCCGTTCTTTTCAATGCTTTCGTGAACACAGTCACCGGCGCGCTGCCTTTCTACATTTCCTGGGCTGAGTCGCATTCTCTGTCGATGCGCTGTTGCTGCAGTTGGTGCCGCCGCTCCCCCCGAAACTTCCGAGGATGGACGGAAAAGTCGAAACCCTGTCAGACCGAACCCGAGAGACCTAATGGTGCTTATGACGCGAAATAAGCTTTTGACGATGCAAACCTCACTTAGGCATTACATTCGCTGAAGACCGGGTCTTGCCTTGGCCTGTAATATGGTGGATATGAGCCCCTCCCACATTAATGCGCGCCGTGCTGCAGTCTGTATCGTCACGACCGAAGGCAGAGCGCAAGAGTGTTCTACTGGTGTGCATTTGTTGGGGCTGAAACTGTGTCATCGATAGCATCTGCCTGCCCTGGGATCAGTGTTCTACTGGTGTGCGTCTGTTGGGGCTGAAACTAACTGTGTCATCGATATCATCTGCCTGTCCTGGGATCCTTCTGGGAAACCTTAACGGCATCACATTTTCCTTGGGGGCGGGAGGGGGGGGGGGGGGTTGAGGAAGAGGCGCAGACTACATCCTTTTCACGTTTTTATTTTGTCAACTAGCTGGTTTAGTGCCCCATTTTGTTATGAAAACTAAAATATATCCAGTCAGATCGCCTATTGGTTTCAAGTGTTAGCCCTTGTTTTAAAGCAAGACTGCCTTCAACAGTGTTGACATTTTTTTTTTAAATTTGCCATCGACATCTGCCTTAGTTTGCACGCATGAGCACAAATCCATGAAGAAATAGCATGTACGGCGGTTGCAGTAAGGTGATAAGAGCAATTTTCGTACGGACGATGAGGCAAAAAACTCCAGTCGCAGTCCATAAAATTGCCATTCAGTGGACTTCCACACTGCTCTAGGGTTATGTGAAACGGGGATGGGCAGTGTCCCAAAATCTCCTTTCTGACTGGCAGCCTTTGGGGAGAGGAGGGGAGGGGGGGGGCGTTCATTGAGTCCTCTGATAGCGCATAGCTGCTCTCGGTGCGTACTTGTGCCCACGGTATTTTGCGTTACACCTCCACTTCACATATGTAAAATATTTTACCTGAAATAGAGTGCCGAACTGTTTATCAAAAGGCTGTTGGTGCTGAAGATTCTGGTAGATGAGATGTTCCCGTCCTTTCCATTCCGAAATTTTCGAGCCAAGGAGGGGAAAATCCCCTGTCTGTCTAAGCCTACCAGCCCACATGTGGATCTCGCCTGGAGGTACATTCGCTGTATATCGAGTATTGGCTTGATTCGGGATATGCTGGGTATAAGCCGCTCATACACCGGAAATTACCGCACGGAAGTAATAATACCACTTATGGCGCATCACGGCAGGGAACAAGAGCCATCATGGATGCGACCGCATTAGGTACTATTAATTGCACCCGACACAAATAGCCTCCAGCTTAATGATCTTTAGAACAAGGAAGGCAAAGCCAACGTAGAATGACGGAGACATTGCTGTAACGGGAGGCTTTGTCACACTGCGCCGAAATCGTCAGGCGTACGTTGATCACGTGCGGAATCGAGAGGAAGGTCGCCAGTAGCGCACTTTTTCAAACAAATTCATCGTTCAGCTGACGACGCGCATGAGCGCACAGCGCGGTTTAGCGGGCGTGCTGACAGGGTTTGGTGCTGCCACGCCTCGAGTTGCTGGCCGTCACGGACGACCCGCCACGGCTGATGAGCTGCCGCTCCGGTGAGGGTGCCGCTGTGGACCGCCCGGTCGATGGGGAATTTGGGTATCATCATTGCTGTTTTTGAGGTCTCGTCATCAACTATCTGGCAAATAATTTTACCTTTGACATCGACTTTATCCGGTAGAACGGAAAGGTTTTTTACCACTGGTTGAGAACCAAGATCTTCAGCGCGGGGAGCATTGCACCTCCTCCCCACGCCCCATCTTCAATGTTAACTGACACGCGTCCCGTTGGGCGGTTGACTACGACGCGCTCGAGTGAGGTGGGGGGTGAGAACCAGTTTAAGTCCATGAGAGAGCTAGATAATCAAACTCACAGGGTAAGTAGGGCACTATGTGAACTTCTTTTGGTCAGATTTTGAAATCCCTAGGTTGTGACCCTTAAGTCGCATACGGTCAAAGTCAAACTCCAGATTGTTATCTTAAGTGCCCTCAGACCTCAAGCAACCAGCTTAAACCCAGGTACCTCTTATAGGCAAAATGCCACTGTTGTTCTTATCAGGTCGGTGACCGTATTTAATCGTTTAAAGGTAAAAGTGACCCAAATACTTCAATATTTTGTTAGTTCTGATTTATTTTATTTTGGTTAAGTTTTTGATATCTTCAATATTTGAATTCACAGGTGAAGCAAAGTGCCATGCTATGCGACATACTTCTCAAATCAAAAGGTTTAGCGTGCTCATTTTTAAGTCACTTTTGATCATCATGAAGTGGTTACACGAGACGTTTTGATTTCCTTGTAATCCAGGAATCCAAAATGAGCGTCAAAAGGTATCTCGTATCTTAAGTTTTTTCAGTGAGAAAGCGGTTTGGTTTGGCCTTGACCTGGTACCTTCACACCTGGTCAAGTGTCAATGGAATAAGTCGCAATCCTGATTTCAGCTGTCTCATTGTCTAACAAACCATTTCGAAGTTGCATGACTTCGTTTATTGCTTTTTTGACGGAGTATCTTATAGTCATATTAAGCTATATCCCTAGAAATTGCCTTCGCTGGCAGGCGTGGTCTTATTTTGACCCGCCATGGTTCAGTGACCTTGCGAGATCAATATAAATGCATATACCAAAAGATTGGCTGTTCAAATGCCCTCAGTTACACAAAGTCTGGCGCGTTATACCGCGCCGTTCGAAACTAAGTTTGGAAGAAGCTGGCGTCAAGTGGACCCCCACTCGAGAGCGTATTACGTTCGGAGCGCACCTCAAGCGCAGTCCTCTCAGGCCTGTCTGGGCGCACATTCTTCTGTCCCGCATGAAACATTTTGCCGAGTCATTTCTCGACATATCGAGAGAAGCCGTTATCAGTTACATGTTCTTGAGTCATGCTCTTTTATCCTGCTCGTAATTAAGCCAAGCTTTCTGCAACCTACCTACCCCAAGCCTGTTGTCCATGGCACATCAGCAGCCAGCAGTGGTACTGGAGACTTGCTTTGGTCGCACGCTTTAATCGTTTTCTTACAAGCCGGAGACATGCGCTTATTTACGGAAGTGACTATTCGGATGGAAATATTTGCATGAACACTGAAGCAGACTATAATATACGATGAATCTACCTGCATACCACAGGCGCGTGCGTTAAACAATATGGGATATGTGATAATAATGGTCTTAAGTCATACAGCGTGCAGCATCAACGTACGCCAGTTTATACAACAAACCATGTCACATAAATCTTCCAGGACTGTGAGATAACTCTTTACGTTCTCCTTGTGAGAGCAGCAAGTGGCTGTAAAAATCCACTGTGCGACCAGCATTCAACATGCTGAAATAGACTCAGCTCAGCTAGCATACAGCTGAAGGCTGCTCACCATAAGCTGTTCACCGTGGAGCAATGCTCTGTAAGGGGGCAGGGCACGAGTGGAGCGACCCAGAACTCTGAGAGGGCACGAGTGGAGCGACCCAGAACTCTGAGAGCGTACGAGTGGAGCGACCCAGAACTCTGATAGGGCCCGAGTGGAGCGACCCAGAACTCTGAGAGGGTACGAGTGGAGCGACCCAGAACTCTGAGACCATAGGCGACGAGCAAGTCGGCAGCATTCGGCTTTTCGTGGAAGACATTATGTGAAAGCATGAGGCCATAATGGGCGGGTATGGCCTTGATTGAGCTTCATGTTTAAATGAGCTTGGAGAGACCTCATTAAACGGGTTTCGGATGCATATATTAACCGGGCATGGGATGCATACATATATGCATGCCTGCACAAATATTTATTGCGACCACAGCGTGGGAGTTTGAGACCAACAGGAAGGTCCTCGTTTATTAGCGTCGCACAGAACATACAAACACATGCATGTACATACACAATGCATATGTAGGACTCCTGTCGCGAATTACGGCTCCTGTAGGTCAGCGTCCTTTTGAAAGCTGAGACTGAGCTTGCCCGGAGTATAACAAATGCTCGCGTTCGGCAAAGTGCACTTGATTCACGTGAGAGATTTGGCTTGAGCATTACCGAGGGTCGGGCTGGTGAGTACGCTGTGAGTTACCGTGGAGAGGGTCTTCTTCGCGGCGCCATTATAGCGTTTCCTGGTTATTTTATTCGTTTATTTTATTTGTTAGGAACTGAATTTGGGGGTATGGCCCTAGACTGTACGATGCAATGGGCGAACCATTGTATGGCAGCACTGAAGGGGCGGTTCACATTGTCACGAGTCTTCGAAGTGACATATTGATGACACCCTCACTCAGGTATTGATCACCAAGCTACGCTCCACCAACTCGGCGGAGACGCAGCAGTCTTCGAAGTGACATGTTGATGACACCCTCACTCAGGTATTGATCACCAAGCTACGCTCCACCAACTCGGCGGAGACGCAGCAGTCTTCGAAGTGACATGTTGATGACACCCTCACTCAGGTATTGATCACCAAGCTACGCTCCACCAACTCGGCGGAGACGCAGCAGTACAAGAAGGCGACCAAGGCGCTGCTGGTGCTGCTGCCACTTCTCGGCCTCACATACATTCTGGTTTTCGTCTCGCCCGGCGGCGGGGTGGTGGCGGACGTGTTCGCCTATCTGCAGCCCATACTTATCAGCACGCAGGTGAGTTCATCCACCAGCCCCACGCATTACTTTGTCCGATACCTTCATCGTGTTTACCCATCGCGTGAGTCTATTTCCGATGCCTGCTCCCGCAATCATAGACTTGCCTCCACACAGACACACATTTGGGTTCAGCCAGCGTACGCCCAGAGCAGGAGTCGTCATTTTATCAGACGGAGAAACATATGGGCCCTGAGGGAACCCTTGCCCCGAGACCCCATCGGCTCGCAATAATTTCCTTACGATGTGAATCTGGGATGCGGAGATTCAATTATTCCATCTTGAGTGCATTCCACGATTCGCGCACGGCTTCCCAGCGACTCGACCCTAGCATTTCAATGTCGATAATTTGAGTTGAAATCTTTAGGAAATGCATTTGAGCCGTCAGTGAATTGGTCAAGTGATAGCGTACCTCGTTTATTTTGCCATAAATAAATGAATGGAAGGTGCTTCGCGGAGATGTCATCTAACCTGACCGTTTTGTGTATGTGTGACTGAGGCTGGAAACATCCACACGCGTATGGAGCAGCCTATCAACGCGTATGCAAACATTGACTGTGACCAGAAACGAGAAACTTACTACACGCAATGTGATGTGAATACGTCACTCACTGTTACCACCTGTGCAGACCTCACTGTTTTTATGCTACCGTGACCTGATCCCACCCCAAGGAAGGCTTGCCTCAAAATGCACGAAATTCACTCAAGAGTTAGAACTTCTGAGCTTGTAGGTTCGCAAAATGCAGTTAAAAAGTCCGCAGGATGTTCCACAGGCATTGCTGGCGGAGTGGTGGGTTTTGGGAGGATTTCAGAAGCCAAAATTCGTAAACGTTTTTACTTTCAGATTCAAATCAATTATAAAGTTTGTCCTTGAACTGCGCGAGATGACTTTATTCCGATGAACATAGTGATTCCACTAACACAACCTTATATTATGTAACCTAAAAATACATTTGTTAGTTAGCCAAACATTATCGATAGTTCCATCAACATGGAGTAATAAGCCTACGTATGAATGAAAAAAATATTAATTGTAAATATAAATGAAAATATTTGTTTAACACGTGCAATGAACATTGATGTGTTCCACTGCAAACCCAGGGACATAATGAGTGACGTAAAAATCTGAAGTGTGGCAGAGTAGAAGCCAAACACAAGGTGATGGAAACTGCTTGCCTCGGACGGTAGTATGAACCAGACCTATGCCATGATGTGGCACATACTGAGGTGCAGACTCAGGTTCCGATACAAGGAAATGGCTACTTAAAGCCGCATGAAAACAGAAGGTTTTAGCAATCCTCGCCATGTTCCCTGTCCAGCGCATCCTTTTTAGCACCAGGGTTCGAAAACGTAGGTACAAAGTTGTCGACTGAATCTCTAAATAATCTTTATATTTATATGCCTTATAGCATCATACCCTGAAAAGCCTGAAAATCTTCAACCAGCTCAGATTGTTTAGAATGAAGAAATACGCTGCCGGCATGTCCTCGGCATAGATGCAGGCACGCCGTTGTCGCCTCTTTCACTTCTGAGTTTCACGTGCCATTTTCGTAGGGGTTTCGTCGTTACCATACTAGATTCCTTTCTCCCTGCGCCGTTCCGCGGCATACTTATGCTACTTATTACGGTTACAAAGCTGTCGCCGTGGTCATGCCTGCTAATTAGCATCGGTGTCGTAACCGTTCCCAATGGTGTGTGCTGTTCAAAACCACTGGGGATCATTTGCCTTCGTAGCGACTCGCGCAAAGAAAATGCGAATAAATGTTTGTTGAAATGGATGCATTTCCTACGTGGAAGTCGTTGGGCACTTTTGTGACACTTGCGAATTAATAAGGTTATGAGGGAAACAACAAACTGCGGTTCGTAGGTGATGCCGGTTGTTATCTCACGCATCAGACACGTATGACCATTTTTCGCCGCAAGACTGATTGATCACTTGCTTAGGTAGGCACCTACTTAATATTTTAGGAGAAATCTCAGGGAATGATGATCATCGACATCTTGAAGCATAACAATGTGTCCCTACGAAACTTGAGATTGGGTTGCCTCACAAAATATATACCCACTGTGGATCAAAATGCATGTTTCTGTCGCTGCAAGATATTGTTTTATTTCGTACCCTATGTTTCTCGTGCGGATGAGCCATGCATGTTTTACCTGATGAGCCCACATTTCTGTCTACTCCCATTTCATTTCTATTGAAGACATGCTAATAATCAAGCATTGGCTTGTGCCTTTGATGATAACCTGGGTTTTCAGAAGTTGATAGGATTTCTCAAGACGGTCTTACAGGACAGGATGCATTTGCAAATTTGATATGCGGGGCGGGTTATGTTTTTTGGGACCTCAAAGAGTGGCAACGCTATAATGTACAGAAAATCTCGGAAATATCTTCGGCACTTCCGTGGCTTTGACGGGAAATAGCTCTGGGAACGTTTTTCTTCGGAGAGCGCGGGTTATACAACCTTGACCTGTGCAGCGACCTGCGATCAAGTCGCATTTGGATGAATGAAGGTCACATGGCGTCAATACCTGAAGGTGGCAGCAGGGTAGCGCGCGTGACCGCTGTTTCACGCGGCAAAGTCATGTCCAGATGTTCGCAGTGACTTTGGATAACAATACCATGACAAGTCGGGTTAAGTGTTGGAAATCCACAAGTAATGTTGCTAAACATCTAGTTCATAGATTCTTCAATCTCTTCAGCTATTATGTGCACTGCATAATGCTTTTCATCTCATCTCCTCCATCTGCACCTAATATCTTAAAGTTCAATGGAAAAATACTTGCGCCAGCATAATATCCTAATATCCAAACTATGTCACTCCGCTACAGCGTTTCAACGCAGCTCAACGCAGCTCTGTCTTTCACTGCACAGCTACGGCCATATGGCAATATAAATATCGCACGCTTTTGTCTTCCACAGTAATGTGGAAATCATGACGTGTGTTGTAACGCGTTCATGTGCATATTTATATGCACAACTGTCTGTCGGATCGCTATGATTGCATATATATATATATATATATATATATATATATATATATATATATATATATGGAGTGAAACGTGGCTTGAGTTGGTTTAGCTCGTCGTGACAGCTCATTACCAGGAATATGGTCCACTGAATTGGCGTAAAAGTCGCTGATGAAGTGCAGAAGTATTACCCGTTTTTCCTGTTTGCCGTAGCACGCGGAAGGCGCTGGCTGTCGAGAGCTGCTTCCCTACGATGGGGAGGTCAATAAACCGCATAAAGCCACACGCTTGCCAGACTTAGGATGCCATTGGGTTGCTAGATAATAACACACACACGCTATTTTAGAACGCTTGATCGAAACTTCCACTAGACGGGTAATCGCCGGCACTTTTGTGGATGGGGCGCTTGGGCACGCTGATTGGTTATGTAGCTTTCAGCCAAAAGCGACAGGGAAATGGGCTGTTTGATACAATGATCTGACAAAATGAGGCATTAGTGATCCCCAATGTAATCGCATTTGTCAGTTGCAGAGCCCCCAGGCAATTATATAAGTTTTATAGCCAAGCGCCTGCCCAATGATCAGGGTCGTCAACGGCTGACCTCTGCCACCACAGTGGTCCATGGGGTAGATGCTGGCCTCAGATCATCGTCACTGGATACGTGTCACGGAATGGGCGGATTGGTTGGCCCGGCCGGTAGGGGAGGGTCAGCTGGAAAGTGGTGCGAGCGGGCCAGCCCGTGTGGGCGGTCCGAAATGAGACATTGTGCTGCACGAACGTTGTCCGTTAACACGAGCAGGCCAGCCTGTGTGGGCGGCCCGAAACGAGACATTGCGTGGCACGAAGTCTGCCTGTCTGCAACTCTGTATTCATACGGGACCGGCTACGAAATTATCAGGTGTCAGCGGATGTATAGGTGGCAAGTTGAGCGCGCTCTGCACACTTTGCTTCGTATGCACTCCCAGTGCACGGCTAACCTCGTAAACATTTCGGTACACGTTTCGCCATCAACTGTGAGGACGGCTGGTCGAAAGCGGCGCATCTCAATCGGGCCAGTGCACGTGGGTTTCCTTAGCGCGTCCCTGGACACCAGCGGGGTCCGTTCCCCAAACACACTCCACCATCTGTCTGCGTCCCCGCCTGTCAGCTGACATTGACCCTTGTCCACCTGGGCAGTCAGAGGGAATGCTTCACTCGTACATGGGGTTTTGAACTGAGATGGATTTAGATTACAGATCATTTTAAGGCCTTTGCATACATTCTCCAAGGTTTCGTTTGCGTACCTCACGCATATAGCCATGGCTGTCCGCCACCTGCTCCTTGCAGGCGTCATCTGTCCACCTACCCGACCGTTTGCTACGTTGGACACTTCTACACTCGTCCAACCTTTTTATCTATCTTGTTAGGCTACGAAACCAGAAAAAAACTCGTCCGGTTTGAGGAGGTTTCAACCATTTTTAGTTTGTTGCAATGTTCGGGCGCGTCATTCTAAACAAATTGCTTTGGGATTGACAGGCTCGGCTTGGGACCTCGCCTGTGTCCTCAGCTTTGATTTTATTACTGCACACGAGATCGAAATATTAACATGAAAATGCGCATTTATAAACAGCATGAAAATCCTAAAATGTAAATGACAAGTGGGATTGGACCGCGAAAGACCGGGGAATAACATGAAAAAGCGGATCTGCATTTCAAGCTTCATTGGTGTAGCTCATTGTTAGAAGTTGTTTCGTTGGATATGCGGCTTGGTACATAGGTTACCGACTTTCTGTGAAACGGTCTCGTTACCGCACTAAACAGAAAACATGTATATTTTCGGCGAGACGCATCAGAATGTAGAATATGTGTATAATGTATAATGTAAAAATTTCGAATATATATATATAGATAGATAGATAGATAGATAGATAGATAGATAGATATATAGATATAGATGTATCTTGCGAATTATCCAGGAAGGCGACCCAAATTTTGCAAGGTTATGCTTCAGCGTGTGTGGCGGACCCGCACGTCACGAGCCGTGGCAT